AAAAACTCTTGTCAGAAGAAGGCTCACATGTGTTTTCATCTGTTTTCTCGGATGACATTCAGCAACTACTTTGCAGGGTGGGCAATGAGCAGAAGGGCAAGTACCCACCTGAGCTGCGAGCATTTGCACTGACTTTGCAATTTTACAGTCCAGCCGCGTACGAGTATGTACGATCCAAGTTCAACGAAGCCCTCCCATCCCAGCGAACACTAAGGGGCTGGTACAAGTCGATTCAAGGAGCTCCTGGCTTCACAGCCGAAGCATTTGCTTTCCTTGAGAAGTTTGCGGAAGCACGTGATGAACCCTTCTACTGCGCTCTAATTGTAGACGACATGGCCATCAGGAAACACGTAGAGCTAGTTGGAGATAAGGTAGTAGGGTATGTTGACTTTGGAACTGGGCTTGACGATGACGGTCTTCCTGAAGCTGCAAATGCGTGTGTCTTCATGATCGTTGGAATCAACGTCAGATTTAAGATGTCAGTTGGATACTTCTTAATAGACTCACTCACAGGAGCAGAGAGGGCCGAGCTGGCCAAACAGTGCATTGAGAAGCTTGCGTTGGTGAAGGCTGAAGTAGTCTCTCTCACATTTGACGGAGCCTCGTCGAATTTCACTATGGCCAGGTGTTTAGGTGCTCAACTTCGTGTTGACTGTGAGCAAATTTCTTCAAGCTTTGTGAACCCAGCTGACGATGCTAAGAATGTTTACATTATCCTAGACGCCTGCCACATGATTAAGCTTATCCGCAATTCCTTGGCGAACTTAAGCTACTTTGTTGATGCTGAAGGAAAGCACATAAAGTGGGCCTACATAGTGGCATTGGAGGCATTGCAGCGTTCCGAAGGGCTGCGGCTGGGCAACAAACTCACGAAAGTCCACGTGCAATGGGAAAAACAAAAGATGAAGGTGCGATATGCTGCGCAAGCATTGAGTTCCTCTGTGGCCGACGCCTTGGACTTCTGTAAAAATGTGCTGAAGCTACCCCAGTTCCGGGGCGCCAGTGCAACATCGAAGTTCGTGAGGGTCTTCGATCACCTGTTCGACCTTTTTAATTCTAGGAACCCTTTTGCAAGGTCGTACAAGGCTCCTCTGCGGAAGCAGAATGAAGCCTGCTGGAAGCCATTCTTTGCCTACACCCAAGCGTATATAAAGGGATTGAGAGATCCGGCTGGGCGGCCAGTTTTAGAAGGCTTGAAAAAAACTGGTTTTGTGGGCTTCTTGATCTGCATGGCGAGCACTGAAAAAAATGTTCGACGAGCTTGTTGGCCAGGGTAAGCTGAAGTACTTGTTGACGCACAAACTGAGTCAGGATCACGCGGAGAACTTCTTCGGATCTGTTCGTGGCCGAGGTGGGTATAACAACAACCCAACCGCTGCTCAGTTCATGGCAGCATACAAGCGTTTGCTGGTGCAAACAGAAGTGACGTCTTCTAGCTCGGGAAGCTGCACCAAAGACATGGTTTCCATCCTGAATGCCACTACTGTTGTCGCCCAGGTAGACGCAACAAGTGCGCTCACAGACATGCGCAGGTCCTCGATCTTGGAGCCTCACGATGACCACGACTATACGCACCCTGAAAACCTTTCTGCCGTAGTTGTTGCGGTGGTGCCTTATAACGCAGGCTTCGTTGTACGCCAAGTGTGCAAGACAACAACATGCGAAGAGTGCATTGCAGCCCTGTACTCAGATGAGCTAGTTCCCCTAGTTGAGCAGAAAAACAGAGGTGGGCTTGTGTCCCCGTCCAAGGATGTCATTGGCTTGTGTGAAGCCGTTGAAAAGGGGCTGCGACGGCTACAGATTGAGTGTGGAACACTTCAAGCAGTTAACTCCCAGTCAAAGCATCTCGTTTTGGAAGTGCTACGACTGTCTGTAGAGGAAAAATGGTTTCAGAAGCTAGAGCAGCACATTCTTGACCTTGATCCCCTCGACAATCATATCTACAGCTTGTGCAAAAAAGTTGCGGAGCTGTATGTGAAAATCCGCATCCACCATATGACGAAAGAAAGAAACCGCGAGATCATCAAGGACAGGGTCAGACCAGTTCTTTCAAGAATGATCATTTTCAAACATCAGTGAGTCTCCCCGCACTGCTCGTTTCGGCTATACTGTTCGCATATATTTTTAATGTTTGTGTGATTGTGTTTTTTCTGCCATTTTCGAGTTTCTCAAAGCGTTTCCGTAGGCCATTTCACCACCAAAAAGCAAAGAATAAATGCTTACAACCTGACACAACTGTTTTTATTGCTTTGAAGACGCGAGAAACTGCACCTGCTGCTTAGATAAGCGCGAGCGCAGCTGTACTCGGCTGTTTCTTGCCTCTGCCAAGATGGCCGCCGGCGGCTCGGCGCGGCTTCACCCCCTCCCATGGGTAAGCATAGGCGGCTTCCACTCCAGCAGGTTTTTATATCCTCCTTGGTCCCCACCAAGGAGGATACATAAAACTTGCTGGAGTGGAAGCCGCCTATGCGCCGCTACGGGAGAGAGTGAAGCCGCGCCGAGCGTGCGGCGGCCATGTTGCCAGTGGCAGAAAAGAGCCGAGCGTTGCGAATTTATGCTTCATCGCGCTGCGGGTGAAGTGATTCGTGTGTTTATTGAGCAACGAAAACAAGTAATTCTGGTTGTAAATGTTTATTGCGACTTGTACGCAGCCAAGTGGCATGTAGAGAACTAAATTAAAGTGCATATGCATTAAATAGCGATGCCTATAAGCAAACACATCATCGAAAACATAGGTGCCCTACTGGTGGTTGAAAATTATTGCCCTTGTGAAAAGTGGTCCCACCTTACTTTTGACTGATTCTCAATTTTTTTCCTTCGTCATGTGTTGTATCTTCACTTTTACGTATTGTTCGGCGATTTGCCTGCACAAACTGTAAACCTGATTATCAAGCGTATCAAAGTCTAGGACGTTCTTCTCTAGTTTATGGAACCAGTTTTTCTCGGAGGAAGCTCATAGAACTTTCAGGATGAGGTGTTTTGCTCTTGACTTCACCGTTGTGATAGAATCACATTCAGCCAGTAGCCGCCTCAGTCCTCGACTTCTTTACTGAGGCTAATGGCATCTCGCGACGGTGAAACAAGACCACCTCGCCTCTTACATTTAATTAAAGGTGTCAGCTCATCTGAGTGCATGGCTGCTATGCACTCTTCACAGGTAGCTGCAGTTCGACCTTTGGAACAATGAAGCTTGCTGTGTATGGCACCACGGAACCGAGAAAAGCAGAAAAGCTTTGGGGCTAGTCAATGCGATGCGTATTGTCGTGGTGATCGGGCTGCAGGACTGGGGCCTTGCGCATGTCAGTGAGATTGCTTCTTGAATCTACCATGGCTGCAGGAGTCATTGCATTCAATACGGAGAGACCATCTTGGGAGCAGTGTCTAGAACTTCAAGACGTGACTCCGTCTGAACCAATAGACTCTTGTATGCAGCCATAAACTGCGAAGCTGTTGGGTTGATGTTATGGCCGCCTCATCCACGTATTGATTCAAAGAAGTTTTCGGCATAGTTTTGACAGAGTTTGTGTGTCAGTAAGTATTTCAGCTGACCCTGGCTGACAAGTCTGTCAAACATTCTTTCCGTGCTTGCCATGCGTATCCAAAAACCAATGAATCCGTTTTTTTTTCAGTCCTTCTGTCACTGCCGGATCTCTCAGCCCATTTATGTACGCTCGAGTCTCCGCAAAAAACGAGTTCCAGAATGCTTCGTTCCCCTGCTGAAGGGGACGACCTTGCCAGCGGGTTCCTGGAGTTTAAGATGTCAAACAAGAGATCAAAAGTTCTAATAAACGTAGATCTTGTGCTGGCACCCTTGAATTGCGGCAGCTTTAGCTTTTGTTCGCAGAAGTCCAAAGCGTCGGCAACTAAGGCACTCTATCAGTTGTACAGCAATATCATACTTTCATTTTCTTGCTTTTCCCATTGGACGTGGACTTTCGTAAGTTTGTTTCCGAGCCACAACCTTTCTTCACGTTGAAGTGCCTTCAATGCCACTTCATAACCCCATTTCACATGCTTCCCTTCAATGTCAAAGAGGTGGTCAAAGCACTCTGGCGTGAAGTGCACAGAGCGAAGTGATCTCAGTCTTTCGCATTCTACTTCTCACGGCGAACGGCCCACTCCCAGAGGCTCCGCGTTACGGGATCTTTAGGAAACCTGTAAAACAAATCCGGACTATTATGTTTTGCACGCTTAGATCGCGTCAGCTATAGCTCCCTTTAGTAACGAGCGCGGAATGGCTATGTCGAAGACGTTTTCGTGTACGTACAGGTGGAATGTGAGGCCACAACATTTTTTCAACCTGTTGGCACATCCGTAAACGACGCAAGAGGCAACCATTGTAAACCATTTGTCTTTACATGCCGACAAGGTGAAACAATAACGGACGAAATCAGCAGCTCGTCATGGCGCTGAGCACGCTTTTTGCCACTGGCAAGATGGCGGCGGCTGGCTTCACTCGCACAGCGCCCCTTCCACTCCAGCAAGTTTTATGTATCCTCCTTGGTCCCCACGCGGGAGACCTAAGGCCCGGTCGGCGAAAGCTCTACCGGACTTCCAATAAAGTTGCTACCAACCAATCAAGAGCTCGATGCTGTCTTGTAAACAGTCTGCGTGGACTGTTCAGACTCCGCATCTCGGCTGCGAGAGCCGCGGTGCTGAGGAAACTCGTGCCTGCTAGTGCCGGCGAGCAGTCCCAGAGGCCACGCCTTTTGTCGCATGCTGCAACGTGAGAACACCAAGGAAGTTTTTATATCCTCCTTGGAGAACACTCACTATCGCACAACATTTTATTTTTGATGTGACATAATGCAGGCAACCAGCTAAAATTTCCTTTAACAGGCTAAAATTCCCTTTAGCCTGCCGGCTAAAAGACGAGTGGAGTAGGTCATGGGCTAAAAAATGCAAGCCAGTATTAGCCAATCAAAAGACACATTCACAGCCTTTAAAAGTCAAAGCTGAAGCAAAGCCGCACGCTGAGCCGAACAAGAGTGGCTAGCCAAGCCAAGCAACACAAATATGGCTGCGTCCTGTAACGGGAAAACAACCCATCTGCTTCAGACTGCTCATTGAACTTTTGGCAAGGCTCTAACGAGCATATATGGATTTGCGTGAAGGACATCAGTGAAGTAAGCATGCTGCTAGTACGCGGTAAATCAGCCTCGCTTCTCAGATCGGCCCCACCCCTTTGCCGCTGTCTGTGCACTGCCGGCGCATCGCATAGCGGGCAGCCGAAAGGCAAGCAGCGCAAGGTTCGAAACATCGGCATCGTCGCCCATGTGGACGCGGGCAAGACTACCATCACGGAGAGGATACTGTTCTACAGCGGCCTCACTCACGCGATGGGCGAGGTGCATGATGGCGACACGGTGACAGACTGTCTGCCCCAGGAACGCGAGAGGGGCATCAGCATCACCGCTGCCACGGTGACCTTCCCGTGGAGAGACCATCGCGTCAACCTCATCGACACACCGGGTCATGTCGACTTCAGTATGGAAGTACGTCGTTCGCAAAACAGTTGCGCGATAGGTTGGCGGCATGCGTACACCGTATAAACAAAATTTTGGTATGACAGAAATCAGCGCTTGGGTGCTTCAAAATCTGAAATATGAAAACGAACCGTATTTCTATTAAGGAAAATAGAAACTAGTATAAGGTATATGAGACACTTGAACCAAAATGCCGCACCGCAAACGTTTCATCAAGGTAAGCACAACTAGGGAAGTTCAAATCGAGTAGGCTTTAGAAGGCGAGACACGCAAAACATAGCGAAGCAATAACGTGCCATACCAATAGACCCATACCTTCACCCTATTCGTTGGAGTTTTACGTCCTGAACCAGCAGTACCATTTTCAGGACGCAACTGTGGAGGGCTTCTTTGATTTTGAACACCTGGGTTTTTTTTTTTTTATGTGGAAGTAATCTAAGTACATCGGTCTCGAGCGTTTCCGCTTTCATCAAAAAATGCGGCCGGGATTCAATCCCGCGACCTTTTAGTCACCATCCAAGCACCATAACCACTAGACCACCGTGGCGGAATGTGACCCAATATTTTATCCATTGTATCTTTGCAATGCCTTCACATGCACCACTCGAGTCCTTTGGACCCTTCACTAGAAACAGGTGCTGTGAGTACTGACACAAATGTAATTTATAAAACCTACATTATTCATCTTGTATTCACCAATGACAAGTCGAAGCCAAAAGTCGTTCTATTTTTCTGGATCGATGGATGAGGGAGCAGGGAACACGAACCATGGCTTCACGTGTGGCTACCAATTGCCGTCTCCATTTGTTTGCCGGCCAAAGCATGCTACAACGCCATCATGTGGCGTTATGTCACGAATTTGTGACATTACAATGATGTCATATATATATATACATATACACATAAATTTTCAATCTGCGATGTCATATGAAGCCGTTATGTGCTTATTTTTTGCATTACTCGTGCTCTACTCCATGGGCTGGACACCACAGACGGTCAAATGTCCCATCTTATGAGGGGCATCTAAGGCTTTTGTCTAAACGAAATGTGCATTGAAATCTTATTTTGTCTGTGAGTGACCCACCCAAAGCCTAAAGATTTAGAGCAAGAAAACGATATGGATATACTACTTCAAGGAAGATTTCTGAGGATGGACTCACTCATCTGAATCTTGTTGAGTGATCCCTTGCCCTGCCGCGACGGTCTAGTGGCTAAGGTACTCGACTGCTGACCCGCAGGTCGCGGGTTCGAATCCCGGCTGCGGCGGCTTCATTTCCCATGGAGGGGGCAATGTTGTAGGCCCGTGTGTTCAGATTTGGGTGCACGTTAAGTACCCCAGTGAATGTTAAACCCTACATATCAAATCATATGTTGAGTGATCTGGACGTAAACTTTATCATAACTTTATATTCCATTTCTCGGTACACGAACAGGAGTAACCTGCATGTCAACTTTAGGGTTCACATCTTCGTGCAAGCAAAAATGATTTACCCTTGTGTTTGCTACCCTTCTATTACTAACATAATACCATAGCTAATGACAATGAGATTTTGATGTTATTCATTCCTAGCCATTTTCCCACCTTTAATGCCATCTGAGCTTGCAATAGACATCAAGAAGCTTACATAGTCAGATTAATAGCACAAACAAAAGAGTGCCTTACAATTTCCATATCATGAGGAACTTGAATGTGATCTTTCTGGATGAGCTCAATTTATATTTCATAAACATGAACAGCATATACTAACTACAATGCACTTCGAACAGCTTGACCGAGCTTGACAAAATTTAAGAGCGGTTACTGAGCGACAATGACCAGAACACATTGAAATTTGAGGTGTATCACTGGTGTACTGCTGCTCAGATGTTGGTGCAATATGCAGGAGAAAATCTTTGCTTCTTGTTTTACTTTCTTCTACTGAATTTTTACTATGAGATTAATGTTGTTCTAAAATAATATTTTATCCATATACACCGATTCGTTCATTTTAATGTCCCTTCAAAGAATGGCAGCAAGTTGTAAATTATTTGGGAATCAAAAAAATTCTTTTTAGGAGCTCAGCATGTTGGTATGCGCTCTTGTGTTAAGCAACATAACAAAAAGCTCACGGGGCTTGTCATGCATTCGCCTAAGACGACTGAGGTCACGTGAGAAACAGTCTTTTTCTTCTCACTCGATGTGTCAGTCCTCCCGTGCCCTGAAAGCTTTCTGCACCTCACCAAGTTTGAACACGACATCAAAGAGCTTGTTTCACAGAAATTCAGGTGTCGATGTTGCATCACTGGTTGTGAGCAAAGAGTTAAGGATGCAAATAAAATAAGAAAAAGAAATCGGTTCGAAATAAGAAACAAACATAGGCTGTCTGCCACAGCAGGTGTTACCACAAAACCATAGGCTGTCTACCACAAAACCACGTCATTGCTTGAAACTGCTATGAAAAAACACTATATGAGCGTGATGTAGTGGAAAGAGTCCCCTCAGTGCTTCTAATATCGCGTGACAGAATCCTAGAATTTTACCAGGCATCTAAAAATGTGAACTGCTGAACAAGTCGGTGGTTTAAAGCTGTCCACCCAATACAACATGTGCAGCTATGGAAATGCACGTGGAAACTTGCAGACAAGTACTGCGCCAGTAAGCAAAAGGAAAAATTATGGTGCAGCAGGTACTTAGCAACTGTGCATTCAGTAGACAATCTAGGATAATTTGAAATGGCCAATTTTACTCACGTTCCTCTATTGTGCGCATGAGGCCAGATTACGCTATTGTATTGTAATACTTTTGAAGGTGAAGTTTTTTTTTACACTGCCTCTGTGATCAGCTAACCTTTGACCAAGCAATGATGGAATGTGATGACAGCATAGTTTGTCATCACGGCGTGCGACGGCACAATGATATCACAAGTTTTGACCTGTGTCGTCGTGATGACGACATAAGGTGATATCATCCCGTGACGACAACTTCTTTCGTCACTGGTATTGACGCTGTCACCAATCAATTTTGCTCGTGTTTCATGAGGCATCTGAGGACTTCGTCTTAATAAACGTACCTCTTGCCTTGAACAGGTGGAGCGCTCACTACGAGTAATGGACGGAGCCGTCACACTCCTTGATGGATCTGAAGGTGTCCAGGCCCAAACCATCACAGTGTGGGAGCAGGCTTGCCGCCACAACTTGCCTAGACTCATCTTCGTGAACAAAATGGACAAGTCTGCTGCCAGCTTTGATGCCTGTGTCTGTGATGTGCGTGCAAAGTTGGCAGCCTCTCCCCTAGTGGTGCAGCTCCCATTGAGAACTGCGGACAAAATGGTTGGCATTGTTGACTTAGTCTCCATGGAAACGGTTGTGTGGCCTGCAGATTCCCACCAGGGCCGTGTCTTCAATCGTGCACCTCTCCCAACAGGGACTAGCCAATACCAAAAAGCTGCAGGGAAGAGGTGACAAATGCTCGTCTGTATGTTGGTGTATTGCCAGATATGCTGACAATATTCAGTTTGAAATTGAGGGCAAAGTACTGCAGCATAATTTTGTTTCCATCATGTTTAGTTTGCGTTATATCGGTGTAATCACGACTCTTAACACTTACATATGAGCTAACATTGTCCTTTACCAGGCAGATTTGTGGTGACATGACACTATTATCACGAGCAATCACGCATGCCAGTCATTAAACTAAAAGCTTTAATCTTGCATTTTGATCTGTGAAAATTACACTTTTGCATTTTTATACGAACATACTGTACAATAATGTGCATCAATAACTTGCTTTAACCAAGTTTCATTCAACGTCACAATGTTTTTCATTATGCATGATATCAATGTTAAGCACATATTTATTGCACAGTCATATCAGTGAATGAAACACTACACTATTTACTAAGGTATGAGCTTCGATGAGTAAGCTGTAGTTTGTGATTCTCTCTATTGCAGCTTATGAATTGTTGCTTTCTTGGAAAAAATTCTATAGTTTCTACTTTCACATATGTGGCAGCTTGCCATATCTGTATTAATTTGCATGTGCTTATACTTAATGTGAAGTAACATGTTTAAGGGTATGCACATTTATTCGTTGCATGTCAATGTCAGTGAGAAAAATTCTATTGCAACGACAGAACGTAAGTCGTGCTGCTGCAGTGTTTGAGGATGGGAAGACAAAGAGCCAAGGCACTGTCTAGCAGAGCTGAGTTGGTTCATTCTTAATGTAGCTTTTGGTGCAAAAAAGGCAGCTGTTCATCTGCCTTTTTTGCATTGTGCTATGCTAGGACATGCCAGTTGCACTGTTTACATTAAGAAATGATGTTGCACTATATTTACTTTATTGTAGCCGAAAATTCTGTGATTGTTATGTTGAGCCAAGATTCTATTACAGTTGCAGTAATGTCTCAGTTTTATTATCATGTTAGGGGCACTGTCATTGCTAACATACAGGCGAAGATGAAATAGCACAAGTCTGAACTGCACTGGTAGTACTTATTTACGGTCATGCTTGAAAAACAAAACGTCTATATATGATATTACTGAAAAGGAAAGGATTAGTGTAGACTTTTAAGTCTGAATGTGCTACCAACATTTGACAGAGCAGAGAGTCGACAGCAAAGCACCGCCACTCTTGATTCCAAGGCAATAGGTTGTGCAAAACTTTTTTTTAAACCACAGTTGGTAGCAGAAGAATGCTAAAATTGCTCAGAAAATGTTAGAAGCAATCAAGGTTCCCAGAAAAAGAGATATGTTCAGCACCTGCTCATTGTCAACTTTTTCTGCATCCAAAACATATCTTTGTATTAAAAAGTCTGTGTTTTGAGAGATTTTCACTAGCGTTCATAAGATTTGTTTGTTAGACAGGTTTGTGCATGATTATACTAGAAGAAATTCATTAAAGTGGGAAAAAAAAGGAACAACTAAGAGGGAGAAAAGCAGGGGCAGTGGCAAAGAGATGGTTACCAACATTTGACATTTAATATGCGTGCTGTTCCATAAACAAACTGCTTATTAAAGTCGGCAGCCTGTTTTGGGTCGTCTTGGTCTTCTTATGTGCCTGTGATGTTTTACTCATTATATCTGCATCACTAGCTAGCCTGCCGGCAGACATTAAATTCTCAGGCCTCAAACGCTTCCACAAAAGTTTTGAGAAGATGCACACTGTGTAGCGTACATTCAGTAGTTTACAAGTCGTCCAATGACAATGAAAAACCACTTTTTTGCAGGCAAGAGCTCATTGAAGCAGCAGCGGAACTTGATGACCAGTTTGCAGACGAGTTCTTGCTGCGAGATCGGCAAGTCCCACCAGCCGAACTGATGGCAGCGTTAAGACGTATAACTCTTTCGGGAAAGGGGGCACCAATGCTGTGCGGCAGTGCCTACCGCAACCTGGCCGTGCAGCCCCTATTGGATGCTGTTATTGACTACCTGCCTGAACCTGTGGTTTCCGATGGTAGTGGGCAGCTAGCTGCACTGGCCTTCAAGGTGGTGCATACCAAGGTAGCATGCATGACAGGTCTTTAGTTCAAATTAAGAGAGATGTGTGAAACATTTAGATAGTTTTGCCACGGTTTTCCAGGAATATTCACATCAATTTGAATTGACCCCTGTATATTGAGAACAACAAACCTAAATCATGAAGAGTATGTTTTGAGTACCATGAAAAGGGTGCATTAAATTGCAAGATGCGGTGCAATATAAACCCCACACAATGTACGGTCATGTTTTTGTTTGTTTTATTAATCTATGAAAATGAGTTCTTATCGTGCCAACATAAGAAGTTGGACACCTTGTCGAAGTGCATTCAAGTTCTTGTATTAAACTCAAATATTCAAAGGAAATAAATATATTTCATGTTACTATTTTATACTGGTCACAAAAAATAACCAACACTTCCTCATCGAGCGGCAATTATGCAACTTAAGTCAGGCTTGCAAGCACTCTGAAGTCAGAAATGAGAGGCTTCTGCTATCTTTGGAAAGAATGTAAGTCAGCTCAAGGAGTTTGGAGAGCAATAAGAGAAATTGATGAGAAGTTATGACTGTGCAAAGAACCATAGAGTGGAATATGTTGCGTTAACAAGCTGTAAAGCAGTACTTGAATGAAGACAAGGGCTAGTTGGCATTCTAGATGAAGATGTACAGTTTACAGCGGATCGGTGGTCACCTCACATTTGCATCCATTACAGAGCTATTTATGTGCATCCATCACAACAGGAATGGCACTGTTATTGGCACATACTAGTACTTCCCATGCCTTCCACTTACTGTCACTTCCTTTTCACATTCATGTTCTCACTCTTGAATTTGAGCAATAATATAATCAAAAACAGATTTATCTTTGTAAAATGTTTTTTCAACACTTACATGTGCAACCTATCTGTAAACCCACAAAATTGCACATTATTCCAAAATACTCGACATAGGTTCCAAGAAAAATAATTTCATAATACTTCGATTTGTACATTTTATAGTCACTAATTTAAATTCACTTGTAGTTAGATATTTATTTACCCTGAAGTGATTCATGTTCTCTTTTTGTATAAATATAAACACATCTCAAGCTCAAAATATATTGCAATTTCATTTCCGATTCTCTTGATTTTGAGCAAAGAAAAATTATGCTTCTGACGCAGCTCGTGGAGGGCAGCACATCGAATGACTCGTAGAACATGGCAGTGCCTTCAGAAAAATAATTATATGACACAGTACATTGCAAAATTAAGTTATAAAAGACATTTATTATACAGGGGGTGTGAATTCATCTCAACCTCTTTTACCGACTAGTCAATGTAACTAGCCCAAGCACGTTGTGCACGCAGTTGTGCACAGAATGATTAAAAGGGTTAATAATGGATAAAGCAGTTTTTATGCTTCACATGCTTACAAACATGCCGTCTTTGTACAGTTTAAGGGCCCGCTAACTTTCGTGAGGATCTATAGCGGTCGCATTGCAACTGGCCAGCGACTGTATAACGCCACGCGGGACCTGTCCGAGAAAGCAGGCGAGCTTGTCGAAGTGACAGCCGACGAATATCGCACCGTGAGTGAGGCTGTGGCCGGTGACGTGCTGGCCATTGCCGGACTCCAGCGCAGTGTCACCGGAGACCTGCTGGTTGCCAGTGCCGCCACGGCTCGCTCGGCCCTTGAAGGTATTATACTGCAATACTTTCTTGTGCGAGTATACGAGCATTTCAAATATTTGAATGATTATTATAGTATTTGAGTTTGATTTGAGTTTAAGTTATAGAAAGTTTTGAAGCAGTCTAAATGAACGAATAGATGTATACATTATTCCACATGTAACCCCCATGTAAAGGTGTGTTCACTGCAGTGGAAGGCTGTTGTACCGTGAATATATTTATCCTCAGAAAATTAACACTACCGCAAAGCCTTACAACAAGGTTAAATGAACATTTTGCCCTGCTATCGATTCATCACTTTTCGAAGTTTAAAAGCTTATTATACCGTCTTGCATGCTTTAAGGCTGGTAAATTTTAAAATGTAACATATTTTACAGGTTTTCACTAGCATGTTACCGAAAGTCTAAACCTGCTACTATATTCAAAGTTGCTTCCACTTACTTTGAATAAAAAATATGGACGTTTGCGCATACATTGTTTCAATTTAAAAAAGTATTGTTCAGGTTTGTTTGGTTATGACCATTTTGCTCATTTTTCCTTACAATTTGGGGCATTTGCTACTTGAATTTGACTCAAAATTATTCTACACAATCACTAATAACTAAGTTCACTTTGAAAGGGGCCAAGCAACACTTTTTGAGCGTGGTTATAAAACACTGCTGATGGGTAGTGGAGGCTCTCAAGAACACACGAGCCAGCACGCGGCCTGGAATTCACAATAAGTTATCAAAGTTAGCTAAAAATTACTTTCTCTTTTCTTGTCAAATGAACGAAGACGCTCAAAAATCGCTTGTACATGGCCATCTATGAATGAGCTATTGGCTGACTTGAACAACATGGCGTGCTCGGTCCTAACTGGGATCGCCGCGAGAGGCCGCAACTTGTCCACGCGTGCACGCGCGATCACACTGGAAAAGCCGCGTATTCAAAGAAAAAAAAAAATGTGCTCAAGGTCACGAGTGGTATATTTTCTTTGCCCCTGCCATCTCTCCCTGCTTAGTTTCCAGCACTTCGTCGGGACGAGACAAGAAAGAATGCATTTGCAGCATGCGACAAAGTTTTGTAACTCTGCTCATACTGGACAGATTCTTGAAATTTTTGCGGTGTTGAATTTGTAAAGCAATAAGCTCTTTTGGTGAAGCTCCTTGGTTACTTAAAAAAGTGTTTCAGGGCCCCTTGAACCTTAACTTTACTATTCACACAAGCCAAGTGAGAATGTAGCTGTACTGCAAATATGAAATCGTGTAGATAGAGACTATCTGATGTGTGCATGAACTTCACTGTCGAGAAATTGGAACAGTAGAACTAATTGGCACCACAAGATTAGCAATAAAGAAGATGCTCTTTCCTTTCACTAGTGTTTTCTTTTTGTATATTGTATTTTCATATTCCATGAAAACCAAAAAGCCTTGTAACTAGTGCCTTCTCTGCTAAGTTCTTAGTTGCTTAATTATAAAAGTCACAGTTTTGCCGAGGGCAAAGCAATGAGTGCAATAGTAACAAATTGAAAAGTAAAACAAAGAAAGGCTAGCAGCTCGCTCTTTTCACAAACATAGCTGTTGCTGCGAGTATAGCAAGTTTCGTGCACACTATGGCTTTAGTGCAAACTTTGCGATGAAGGCAGGATGCATACAAAGCTATAGGTCATCTGCTGAACCGCTCTTAAGAGATAAATGCGCGAGCATTGGTGACCATGCCTTGTAGGTTAAAGTACAGAGCTGAAGAAGTCCAGCCTCACTCCGGCGAAAGACAGGCAGCACAATGCCCTCTAAACATGCGCCCTTTGGCCCTCTGCGCCATCTTGCAGGTGATAGTGAACAAGCTTCTGCCGCACTGAAATAGCTCAGCGTTGCAAGTGCTTAACGAAATGTTGGTAACGCTACTGACAACAAAGAAGACAGGACAGGGTGTTGAATTTGGTGCCCTGTTTTATCTTTTTTGTTTTCTATTTCTTGTTATCAGTTGTGCCACAAATATTTCGTTAAGCTATGCCCCAACTCGCCCAACATCGCACTCTGCTGCTAGCGCTGTTCTGTCCACCTCTATCGTCCGCATATTTGGTTCAATTGAAACTCATTTTTGAACATGATCGTCTATTAACCAGCCCAATTCACTATATTGCATTAACACAGTACTTTAGTTAAACCCTAATCGTTCTTGCTTAATTCATTTATTTGTTGAAAAATACATTATTGCCATAATGCTTGCAGCAAAAGGTCACATTAGACAGTGCTCTCTCACTGAGTTTTCAGCACTAGTAACTACAGAGTGATAATTTAAGTATAAATTATTAATTTGTTCAAGTGGCCATACTTGGAACTTCATTAAGATAAAAATTGCAGTCTTTGGTATTACGTTCTTCCCCTCGTCTTGACAGGAGCATCTTAAGTCAAACTCAGTTGACAATATATCTAATACATCAAACATTGCAGGGTTAGAAATAACACCCGGTTTTTATCCTCTGAATTAGACAAAACAAAAAACTCAAGAATGACGGAATTCTAGTAGTCGGTTATATGTAGAGTGAACATTTGTTAAACGCATAACTATAGCATATATTCGACTTGTACGATATGTAGAATATATAATATATGTACAGTATTGAATGTATAAGACGCTTTGTTGAATGTATATGTAGAATGAGTGTTTGCCAGCTCTCTTTTCGTTCGTTGAGTACAGGGCCTGCCGGTCAGCGGGCAGCGATGCACGTTCCCGAACCTGTAGTGCTGTGCAGTATCGAGGCCCCATCTATGCGTCAGCAGAATGCACTGGACGCTGCCCTGGCCTGCATGCTACGTGAAGACCCAGCCCTGCGACTCAGCCACTGTCCAGACACTGGGCAAATGGTCAGTCGCAAACTTCCGTAGTATGTTTTTCATATAGATGAAATAAGCAACGCTGCATGTTTGTCATAGATTTCTGGAACATATAATTATAGGAAAGTATATGTTGAACTGATGATGTGCAAGTTTATGAAGCCTATCAGACAATGATAAAGTCTGTGGAAATGCGACTGCTGTCTAAGTTTAGAATACATAGTAATGTCCCATGATCTAGGAGCAGAGTTACTGGATGATGATAGCTCCTCTTTTTTGCAGAAAACGTTTCGACAAGAAGCAACTGCTCTCAAAGGCACAAGCCTTAGATGCTTCATCAAATGCGAAAATTGGCTGTGGATGTCAACATTAGTGATGTAAAAACCATTGGCATTTCATGATGTCAAGGATTGTTAAAAGTTGTGACATCATTATGACATCACAGGACGTGACTTTACATGATGACGTCAGCACATAATATTTTTGCTTGGTCAAAAGAGGGCTGATCATAAAAGCAGTGAAAAAACAACGTTAGGTGCATGAGGTTTTTGGAGGACAGGTGTGGGTGATTCAATGCATCGACCTAGAATAAAAAAAAAGAAGCCTTTCGCCTTCAAGCCATCTTAAGTGAATGCCCTAAGAGTTAGTTTTTCTTCTTTAAAAGACTCGTACTGACTGTTTCATACTTGTCCTGACGGCAGGTCCTAGGTGGCCTGGGACGGCTCCACCTGGAAGTGACGCGGGACCGCATTTTGCTTGAGCACAATGTGGATGCCAACCTGGGCCCTCTTCAGGTAGGCTGGGCAGGGGTTATGCAATCACACCAGTTACGAAGGTCTGTTCCGAAACCCGCTTGTGTCCACAGGCACATTTGCGGAGGATAGCAAATCGATGCACCACCTGGGAGTGACAAAAAAAAAATGACTGCATCGCCATGATCGCAGCAGCTTTTGCTGTCACTGCACTGAGTTGCCGCAGCCAGGATAAAAGGTCGAAGAGTTCTGTGGCTGCAGTGTCGTCTGCAAAAAAGAAGCCGAATGCAGTACTGCCTGTGGGCTTGTGCAGTGCTACGCACAAGCAATGCCATTTATCAGCTTTCCTTACCACCTACAGGTGGTGCTACCACCAGCAAATTTCCACAAATCTAGCCATGGCTTGTTCACATTTTGTACATTGTAGCACCAAACTGGTACAAATACGCTCAGACCTCATTATTAGAAAGTCGGGTGCATATATGAAAAGACTATTTTTCATTCACTTCATTTTAACCGACGATTTATTATATGTGTGTGTTTTATAGAGGTTTGAGTACAAATTTGGTAACATTCACATAGATGAAAGCTGGCAGTCCTCTCATGTCTCTCGTTCTTGTGAACGTCTGTTTTTGCGCTCTAATGTTCTCAAAAGCTATGCGTTACCTTGCCAAGTTTTGTTAAACAAACAAGGAATCCTTGGATATCCATTACGCCACATGGGTGCATTAGAACCAGAGTGAAATTTGGTGAAGGGAAGCATGATCCACCTCTTTTGTATAATTTTATTAAATTAATTACAATGTGTGGGAATTGAGGCTGGCCCGCTGCCTTTGCGCGGGCTTTCCCGCCTTTCTGCCATTCTCATGTCCCGACATGTCTGCCCTCCTTTGCTGTCTGCCGCGCTGGGAAGGGCGGAGTGACGTTTAACTCCCTCACCCGGTAGCGGATGTTGACTGTGGCGCCGCGCGGGGAGCCTCCCGAGAGGTTTTCGCGCGCTGCGTCGGGAGCGGTGAGTACAGTCCGGGACATCAAACGGTGAGCCACGCATTCTTTTCCGTCCGTCGAGTCCCGTCGCTCGGGGCTCGTCGTACTTCGCTGACGGCGCCTCGCGCCCGATGCGAACGCTCACCTTTTGTTGCCCCGCTGCGTACTCACGGCCGAAGGGCAGTACGGTGTCCTAGTGCGTGGCCTAGCTACGCCGACCCGTCTCCCTTCGAAGCCAACGCGAGCGCCTTTGCCCTCGCTCGAGCAACCGGGCCCCCTTTGTCCCGGTGTCTCCGTGGATCACCTTTACCGCGGAGACGTGCTCGTGGCACCCCTGTGTAGTACTTTGTGCCCGTGGCGTGGATAAGCCTACTTGCTTTCCCGCCGCGCCTATTTGCAACGGGCTGTACTGCGTTTGGTGTTGCCACAATAAAGTGTTGCGACTTGAGCAGTTTCGTGTTTCCCGCCACGGCGACGGTTAACGCGTGCCCTGCGGCTCGCTAAGACCGGACCCACGCTGGTGGCCGTACTCCTTCGGGATACGTGTACACCACAAATGTTGCTGCATGCTTGTAAATCAGATGATGTGTAATTACATCAACTCGCAGCTTATTTTGTCTCATGCTTGTCGCAGGTGGCTTACAAGGAAATGCCGTCTGATTACTCGGCCGAGCCAGTGCGGCACCTGTTAGACCGCACTGCAGGTGGTACAAATCACAAAGTTGAAGTTGAGATGCGTGTGTTACCATCTGACACACAGTTTCAAGAGTTGAAGGTAAGCATTTAAGCAGAAGCAGGCCGCTGTACGCTAGAAGCAAACAAGACGAAAATTGAGGCGATTGAAATCGACATATGGAAAGATAAATGTGTCAGTTGCCCCTTGGTATCATTCTCCAACAAAGTGTGCCGATACCTTGGTATATAGAACCACATACTGTTTTACAATTTTTATCGGAACCATGTGTTTGTTTTGGTTCGTCTATTTGTATGTTTTTTGTCCAGTCTTTTTGTGGTCTTTGTCATATTCGCTGCTGTCAGTGCATGTTCTCCTACATAAGCCGGGTCTTTTGACAATAAATCGTTAGTCGCGGTGCAGTGCTTGCGTTTATGTCTTTTGATGTGTGTGTGTTCTGCATGCTTTTGAGTGCTGCTTCTTCAAAAATCATTACTTCTATCACTGGCTTTATGTAAAGTTCACGAATTTTGGCTCATTCTATGACTTTATAAATGTTGCATCCAATATTTACATAAACTAAAGCTGTGACATTTCAGGGTAATGAATGAGTTCGTCTACTTGCAGCACAATAAAATTTTGTTAGCTGTATTGAATGAATCGTGGTGTGATGTTCTACAGACAGCACAACATTCGAAGAGGAGACAAGCTCATGTTCCACAGGATTTCGGGATTTTTTCAATCCCAAACATTAATGTAGGATATGACTTTTAAGCATATTGACACGTGCGGTTCTTTTGGTTTACGAACAAAGCCGCTATCACTTTCTGTTAAGCGCAACGCAGGCCGCGTTTATCTTGTATGCCACTCTGGAACGCGTTACGACGCGTGTATAAAAAGCCGGCGCAGTGCGCCACTGGGGGCCTTTTTTTTTTTTTCCGTCGGCCGACGACTGTTCACGCCGCTGTTGCTGTGAGTTGTGTTTGGCCCTGTTTTGCTGGGCACAAGTTCGCCCAATAAACAGTTCGCCTGACACCGCCCTGACTCCTGCGTGCTTCTTCTCAAGTGCTGCGTGTATCACAACCTCGTGACATCTGGTGGAGGTGCTTCTCGGTCCATGTACCGTACGCCCCCGTCCAGCCGTGAGCCAAGCCCAAGCCGCCAAGAGGACGACGCCGACCCGGTTCGAGAACCGCGAGTCAACGCTTCGAACCTGGGACGACTTCCGCGTTGCTTTCCTGCGCACCTTTGCAAGCGTCGTGCGGAAGGAAAGAGCCGCATCACTGCTTGAAACTCGGGTGCAGCTCCCCAACGAAAACGTAACGATCTTCACGGAGGAGATGACGCGACTTTTCCGCCACGCCGACGCCGACATGTCTGAGGACAAGAAGGTTCGCCTGCTTATGCGAGGAGTGAAGCAGGAGCTCTTCGCCGGACTGATCAGAACCTCACGAAGGCCGACGTCGACTTCAAATGGGAAACGCCGCAAGTCGAGGCATTTCAAGAATTAAAGCGACGCCTGCAAACGCCGCCAATACTGGCGCACTTCGACGAAGAAGCTGACACCGAAATTCACACGGACGCAAGCAGCACAGGGCTCGGCGCCGTGATCGTGCAGAGGACCGACGGACTTGAAAGGGTCATCAGTTATGCTAGCCGGTCACTTTCGAAGGCAGAAGCCAATTATTCCACGACAGAAAAGGAATGCCTTGCCATCATCTGGGCTACATCAAAGTTCCGCCCCTACCTGTACGGCAGGCCTTTCAAAGTCGTGAGTGACCACCACGCCTTGTGTTGGCTAGCTAACTTGAAGGATCTATCAGGGCGCCTCGCACGGTGGAGTCTCAGACTACAAGAATTTGACATCACCGTCGTCTACAAGAGCGGACGAAAGCACTCCGGCGCCGACTGCTTGTCTCGCGCCCCTGTCGATCCGCCGCCCCAGGATGACCAGGACGACGACTCTTTCCTGGGACCCATAAGTACCGACGACTTCGCGGAACGCCAACGAGCTGACCCAGAGCTCAAGATCCTCATGGACTACCTGCAAGGCAAGACCACCGACGTGCCGAAAGTATTCCGCCGAGGACTGGCTTCGTTTTTCCTGCGAAACAACGTCCTCCTGAAGAAGAACTTCTCGCCGCTCCGCGCCGACCACCTCCTCGTGGTACCTTCCGCGTTACGTCCAGAGGTTCTGGAAGCATTACACGACGACCCGACAGCCGGACATCTTGGTGTTTCCCGCACACTGTCACGAATACAAGAGAAGTACTATTGGCCTCGCCTCACTGCCGACGTCGCCCACTACGTAAAAACATGCAGAGACTGTCAGCGACGCAAGACGCCGACAACTAGGCCAGCCGGACTTCTGCAACCCGTCGAACCACCTCAACGGCCATTCCAACAAATCGGCATGGACTTACTGGGGCCGTTCCCGACGTCAACTTCTGGCAACAAATGGATTGTCGTAGCGACTGACTACCTCACCCGCTATGCCGAAACAAGGGCCTTGCCCAAGGGCACTGCCGCCGAGGTCGCCAAGTTCTTCATTGAGAACATCGTCCTCCGCCACGGAGCCCCCGAGGTCCTCATCACCGACAGAGGTACGGCCTTTACGGCTGACCTAACGCAAGCGATCTTGAGGTACAGTCAGACAAGCCACCGCCGAACCACCGCGTACCACCCACAGACGAATGGCCTCACCGAGCGTCTAAATAAGACCATCGCCGACATGCTGGCCATGTACGTGGACGTCGAGCACAAGACGTGGGACGCCATACTCCCGTATGTAACCTTCGCGTACAACACGGCCGTGCAGGAAACGACGCAGTTTGCTCCATACAAGCTCGTCTACGGACGGAGCCCAACAACGACGCTTGACGCCATGCTACCGGTCGGCACCGACGAAGAAGACCTCGACGTCGCCAGCTACCTGGATCGCGCTGAAGAAGCTCGACAGCTAGCCCGCCTGCATATCAAGAGCCAACAGACGGTCGACAGGCGCCACTACAACCTTCGACGACACCACACCGAATACCAACCCGGCGACCTTGTCTGGGTCTGGACGCCGATACGACGACGGGGATTGTCTGAGAAGCTCCTGCGACGCTACTTTGGACCCTACAAGGTAGTCCGACGTCATGGTGAACTGGACTATGAGGTCGTGCCCGATGGCTTAACGTCATCCCAACGACGTTGTGCACGACCCGAAGTCGTACACGTGGTGCGACTTAAACCTTATTACGCGCGCTGATTAGCTGTGACGCATTGTTAATGTAATTTATTGCATGTACTCTCTCTTATGTTCTGTCTTTAGCATCGGGACGATGCTTTTTCAGAGGGGGGTAGTGACACGTGCGGTTCTTTTGGTTTACGAACAAAGCCGCTATCACTTTCTGTTAAGCGCAACGCAGGCCGCGTTTATCTTGTATGCCACTCTGGAACGCGTTACGACGCGTGTATAAAAAGCCGGCGCAGTGCGCCACTGGGGGCCTTTTTTTTTTTTCCGTCGGCCGACGACTGTTCACGCCGCTGTTGCTGTGAGTTGTTTGGCCCTGTTTTGCTGGGCACAAGTTCGCCCAATAAACAGTTCGCCTGACACCGCCCTGACTCCTGCGTGCTTCTTCTCAAGTGCTGCATGTATCGCAACCTCGTGACAATATTCAGTGCGGTGTACCTGATTGAAACAATGCTTCACTCGTCAGTTTTTTGATGAAAGGACACCAGGGTGGCGCCAGCTTTGAACAAGCTTATTCAAAGAATTTGCTAAAACAAGTGAAATGGGCAATTGCAGTCTTGCAATGTAGCCACTGATGGTGATGATGAAAGCAGCCAAGGCAAATCAAAACGTTGCTAATAAGTTGCGTATTTTCACGCTGGATCTGTGCTCAGGACAAACTTAGCATGTGTGCCTCTACACGCAGGTCGTTGTGACTGATGAAAACGGCCTGGGGCAACTTTGGCAGCAGCACAGACGGGCCCTCAACGCTGGTGTGTTGCTGGCACTGTCACACGGACCCTTGCGAGGCTTTCCGGTGACCAATGCCAGGGTTGAGTTGCTCTGGTGCCAAGTAGGTCGTGGAACCTCCTTGGCTATGGTCAGTGCGGCTGCATCCCAGTGCATTGCCAAGTGTTTGGCCAGTGCGGCTGTAGTGCTCATGGAGCCTATCATGGATGTTCAGGTAGGCAACTTTTTCATGCGCCAATGGCTTAGCAGTCCTTCACAAGGGATTCAGGCTTATATGTTTTAAAGATACACTAAAGGCAAATATTAAAGAGATACTGACATGCAAATTTTCAATTTTTTTTTTTTTTTGCACCAACTGAAAGACAAAGTCCTCAAAAGCCTGAGGACTTGGTAAGAGTACACCAACAAATTGGTTACAAGTGTGAAAGCACTCCAAACAATTTATGACAAAATGTTCTCGAAAGCTGGTTTCGATTCCTACTTGACCCTGGCACTGCGATACAGTATAAGCTGTTCATCGCATGCTAGTGCAAGATATCGCAATGCTTCCATGGGGACTGCACTGCGTGGCTCCATTGGTAACACACAAGCAGCCATTTTGAACGTTTCAGTGCCTGAACGTCATCACGACTAGCCACACTGGTATGTGAAGTCACCAGAATTGACACTGTAGCACAACATGATGGTAGTGTTGATGTCAATGGGTGCACCATGCGAAAATCGATTTTAATGCCAAAACTAGATGTCTTGTCAGCATTTACCGAGCTTCACAACTGCACAGAGCAGTCTCTGTATGCAAGACATTTGTACGACTGTGTCACTCAGCTTCTAAAGTTGGTGTCAGCATGGATTGTTCAAGTAGAATTGCACAAACCTTGCAGCTCTTGTTTCATGTCAACAAAACAGTTAATTCAAAGAAAATAATCTTTTATCTGTCCGTACACATTAGCACAGCTCAAATTACCTCAGAAATGGCTTGTGACATAGAATTTGCCTTGCCCGTTCTTTACTGCTTGTCAGCTGGCACTGTGGTTTCTTGCTTGTTGATGAAAACAAACTACCACCGAGACACTACTACACTAGTGGAGCATAGCCCGGTGAAAACGAAACTTATGGACCACCTGCGTTGTTTTTCATGGAAACACCAAGCAGTTCTCGTTTTCTGCACAAATCAAATAGAAATGCACAAGCTGCCTTTTATGCTATCTTGTATTACACTGCAGTGTTCCCTTTTATTGTGACTGGTTTGAGTACTATCAAGTGTTTGTACGGAAGACATTCTATGTCATCGCGCCCTTGTTGCAGAATGTCCCACTGGCGGCACAAATCATGTCTTACACTTGACTTCATTTCACAAGTATTAAAGTGCTGCTGTGCATAATGTTATTTGACACATTTTCAAGCACCGACTTTTCACTCTAGCACAATTTGTTGATTGGCTTTGGTGTCCCTTTAAAACAATTGAATATTGGGCAAGTTGATGTTTTGACATCATCACAACAGAACTGAAGTCCAAGTGCTATAGTTAGTTTCTTTGCCCCATCAGTCGGAGTGTTTCTCTTTCTTCAGTGTCCATATAGATATTCAAGATCTGATTGGCTGTAGGGTCATGAAATTCGCCTCACAGATGGCACCCTAGGGCATGTGTAACTTGCAGCCGAATAAAAAAAAAATTGGGGGACCCTTAAGCTTCGCCAATAAGAGTTGAACGTGATAGTGATATGCTGTCCCTAGTGCATTCTGTGTAATGGTTAGCGTGCTTTACACTATGAGCAATTATTCGTGTGAAATATATTTGAACTTTCTATGCACCGAAGAATAAGTGCAGTAACGTGTGTGCCTTTTGTTGTGGGTGGCCGGCTTTAAACCATGAAGTCAATATGATAATATGATATGTTCTGAAGCTGGATGGCAATGTACGCTTGTATCACGCATTACTGCAATATTACATGTTCTGTTGTGAAGGGTATATACAGGACGCATGTGTTTGTACAACATTAAAGTTACTTTCACTGCATTTCCAAGCAGAGGAAGTTTTCGCTGTATTTCAAAGCATACGCATGGCTATGTGGTAGAACGCCTGCTTGCCACACAAATGACTTGAGCTCGATTCTCACTCTGATTGGGCGTTCTTTATTATTGATTTTATTTGCACCTTCATCGGTGTTTCGGTCATGCACAAGATGGTGATTTTTCGCTCACAACCAACGGCACCAACGCCGGACTTTCTTTGAGAGAAGCTCTTTAACGCTATCGCATTAATATTGATTGCATGGCTGCGATGACTGGATTGTTCAAACTTGACATCTGGTCATGTGATGCAGCTATCCATTCCCGAGATGTATTTTGGCCGTCTACTAAGTGACCTTTCTCAAAGGAGGGCAAAGATTAAAGAGATCTCCCAACGACAAGACATGCGTGTTTTGGATGCCGAGGTAGGCCACATCTGTTTTCCTCATCTCAACAATGCCATTCAAATTCACAAGGATAACAGCTTTCCTGTTGCATAAATATTTATATTGCACTCACTCAAAGGTATGCTGTAGGAGTATGTAAGAGATATTATGCAATAAAATTTCTGCTAGTCTACAAGATGGTGTGTAGTCAAATGGTTGACATAATAAATGCAGATAAAATTAATTATCAGACAGTAGAACAAAGCAAATCTGCACTGTTTATTACCAATATCAGCTTGCATGTACTATACCTTAAAAAGTACAATGAAAAACAAATTTAAAGAAAGTATTTTACCTAAGATGCAACTGTTTTTTTTTACAACGATCGCATTGCTCCAAGTTTTCCTTTAGTTTCACTTACTTTCAATCAGGGCCTAAATCCAAAGCAAATGATGCTGTATGTGTAGTACATGACATAACCCTTTATATTTGTGCCACAGGTTAAGCTGTAGAGCTAAAGAAAAATGAGAAGTTTTAGCCCACAAAATGCACATAGCTATCAGATTTACTTCATTCATTGTATAATGACCTAGTCAAGGCAGTATGGATATGCCCCGTTGGAATGGGTGCCATGCGGAGATTTCATCTCACAAAGACCAAAGGAGTGCTTACAAAGTCATGCCATGACATTTCCTAGCATCACGTCGGTGGCCTTAACGAAAATTTCTAAGCTTGTACCTTAGGGCGATACCGGGCCGCGCTCGGAACACTGTCTCTAAATAAACATTTATTTCTCTCTATTGTGTCGAATGCAAGTTCATTCGAAGCCGCTTATGACTATACCAGTTTTAGCGATATATTGGTTGCGTAGACATCTTTAGTTTTCTTTCGTAGGTGTTTAGGACCATACCTGGGGGGGGGGGAGGTGTTTGTCAGTCTTGAAGATAAAAGCGCATGTGTTTTCAATAAACCAGTTGCGAGTTTGCGCCTTTAGTGCCTGCTTCTTCTCATTTTTTTTTATTGTGCAAGTTTTAGCTATGAATTCATTGGTTATAACAATGGGAAGCTGCTGCTTAGTCAACTTTTGTATGTTTTCTATAGTGAAATAACCTGCTTACAGCAATACCAGCATGCTGCACTATCGGTAATAACAATGATCTGGCTGTTGGGTGTTCAAACTCAAAGGTAATGGAAGGCGAAATCCGCGAAAAGAAAGAAGAAACAGAGATATTCAAGCTGCTGAACTGCTGCCGACAGCCTTATAATGTTTCAACGCCTTTTCACGTATCCCTCACGTGCCCGCTTTCACCTCATATTCCTGGACGTGTACACAACCTCCCACTGCCGGTGCTGCGACACTCACCCGGCTACGCTTCCGCACATACTGTGAGAGTGCCCGGCACAGTACAGACACACTAACGCCACGACCCTTTCGTCGAAGCTCCATGAGGCTCTGCGGAGCCCTACTTTTAGCGACCAAACCTGGGCGACCCAGCACGCCCATGAGGCGGCGTCGAGGCAAACCCTTGACGTCCCCTCATGGGAGGCCTAGGCCCGGCCACCTAAACCTGCTGGTTTCTTATAATAAAGTTTATTCCTCCTCCTCTTCATAGTCAACAAAATGTTTCACTGCATAGCGCTGCTGCATTGCGGCAAAGCTGACTTTGCAGTTCGCTACAGTGCCGGAGCGGTACTCGCTTCCTTTCGGACATGGACACTAAGTAAAGAGTTGAGACTTTTGATAGTTTTAGCTTCCAGAACTTTAGATGTTATGTATTAGCTATACGTGTATTGTGTAAATCTCGTCAAGCGTCCGAATTTTCGAACATGTTTAATAAACTGGCAGCTTTGTTGTCCTTCACTCTTGGCATGTCTGACTGATACTATAGTTTTCTCTAAAGAACCTGCCATCCACCTCTTGTTTTTTGTTTGTTTTTCGTGCAACCTATTATACCAATTATCGGTTATAACAATGGATTTTTCGTGGCACTTGAGTATTATTATAAGCGGGTTCAATGTAGTATATACTACATATTATGAAGATGAGCACATTTGTCATGACCCAACCAACGTGCACTTTTTTAAGATTGAAGCAAGGCAAAGTGCAAATGTCATTCTTTTTTGATTAAAATGAAGTAGAAGCAACTTTGAACAGTAGCACGATTTGATTTTCGGTAGAATACCAGTGATAACATCTAAAAGAATTATATCTTAAAATTTGCTGTACTTAAAGCATATAAGTTGGCATAACAACCTTCTAAACATTGATGCGAGGGTAATATCTTTATTTAGCTTTGAATTAGGTTCTTCATGGCAGTGCGGATTTCCCCTGAATAAGCGTTTTCATGGCTTAGCATTCACGCTTCACCGCCGTATTCACAAACGCCCATTTTGTCCTTCACGGGACAGAGCTGAGCACTGCGCCACTGCTAGACTGAAAATGACACTGCGCTTCTCAAGAAGAGCTGCAGATTATGCAGCGACTTGCTTTGCCTATAGACGGCACTCCCATAGACTTTCTCAAGTCAAAGCTAAGCGTTAATTGAAGGGAGCTGTTGAATACGAGGGTTAGCATTCATTACTGCAGTGAAACGAGCTTTACAGGGGTTACATGTGGACTACTATACATCCATTCATTCATTTCGAATACTTCAAAATTTTCCATAATTTAAATTTGAATTGAAGCAAGTTTGCCCGACTGCAATATTTGTTTGAATATTTGGAGCATTCGAATAGCCTAATCACAATAAATGCTAGTGATGCCAGGACTCGCTGACATTTCCCAACCTTCATACCGACATGGAAAGCGTGTGGCGTAGTTTCTACAACTTTCTGTACTACCGAGTCAGCTGTTTGCATTAAAACCTGCTTTTGGTCGTCAGGCTTGAACACTTATATGTAGCTACGCTGCAATGACAATTGTGATTGATCAGATATCAGTGAGAAAGAGGACACGCGAGTCTCTAACAAGTCCACTTTCTTTCTCACCAGACGCAGGGGTAGCATCCCGAATGAAGTCCTATTCCACCCTTTAAACTGCTAACCACCTGATCTGTATTCGTCACACGAGTTTGTACCAATACCACCCACGAGAAGTGCACTTGTCCAACCAGATTTTCTGCTCTTCTTGCCGCCAACGACGTATCACGATTTTAAATTGCTTAACTTGCCATCTTCAACTCTGGGTGATAGTAGTTATCTATGAAAAGCCACATTTTGTGCCTTTCACGCGTGTTTTAGGCCTGGCAACAGTCGTTTCCTAATGCCGCTTCTCAAGAAAAATGCCAGCGGCAACAATGATCCAAGAAAAAGGTGCTTTTTAAAGCAGTATTAAAAGCAGCGTTAGAGTCACGGAATTTGCCTTCGACAGCCAGCGACTCAGACGTAGCCTTTACTCTGGATATTGCTTCGGATGGCAACGTGGCTTTATGTGGGTGCATATGCTTCAAAATATACCACACAAAGAGCGACTATTAGTCATGAAAGATTTTGTAACGACGAAGCTCTTGTCTATAGTTTATTATTTTTTTGTACCCCACTCCTCTCTGTAAAGCTATGTGCAACTGACGGTAAAATAAATGAAATGAAATGAGAAAGCGATGTCTGTAAAATTTTCAGCGTGTTGCTGCTGTGTATTGCATCAAGTTCTTCCATTTTCATTACGTTCCGATTTATAGCTACGGTATGCATTGAGGTTCAGCCTCCGTCAACTGCAATTTTTTATTTCATTACTGTGCCAATTACATAGAGAAATGAATGACGTAACATATTCCAAAATGAGAATTGCATGGAAAATATTGTGACTGCCTATAAAAATTGGCACTTTTGGTACATCTCATGGAAGTTAGTGGCTGAAAGGTTCATATCCTGCCTCCCTCTCACTGACAGTGGTAACATGAGAACATTTAGTATATGCTTCAAGTGCCTGTGGCGTTAGGGAGTTGGAAAATAATGCTCATGATGACCAGCGAACACAGAAAATAAAATTACAACACAAGTGCCGTGTCATCCTTTTCTCCTCCGTCAGATTGCGCTGGCAATCATGGCCTGAGGTGTTCATTATCATTTGTAATTCTATCGCCTCCTGCAGGTTCCACTTGCCGAAATGAATGATTACGCGGACGTGGTGCGAACGCTGTCTTCTGGCCGTGCTAGTTTCACTATGTCGTTAGCTGCCTATCATCCCATGGGAGCACAGGAAACTGCTGTGGCATTGAAGCGGCTTGCTGGATTCACCGAGAATGTCTGAGGCCAAGACAACTTGTTATGTCTGTTCTGCTGTTACTATAAATAATGCATTGTACAAGCCATATGCTATTAGTAATAATAAAAAGCTGTTTTGTTGACATTTTTTGGAGATGAAGGAGCAAAAGATTATATGTGTGCACTAAATCGGGGCATTAGGTTTACAATGCGCGATCACAATTTCATGAAATGATTGGTTCAGTGACAGTGTAAAAGAATCAAGTGGCTTTACCTTTTGTTAATGGCGTTCGGGTTGTGCCTTGCTTGCTACATCTTAAGTGTAAAAGGTTCTGTACCAGTGTTGTATGCAACCATACGTGTGATTCGAAACTTCCTAAAACATTTTTCATGCCTGTTCCATCACCCGCTGTAAAGGACTTGAATTGAGTGCTATCAGATTTCTCAGTGTGCCTGCAGCTTTAAAAAAAATGCTTTCATCAAAACAAATCCAATCATGGGTGTCGGCGGGGGGGGGGGGGGGGGGGATGTGCAAAAAAACGCACTTGCCCCCCCTCAAGCCTCACCAGCATTTGCCCATGCTGAAGCAGTGCTCTCACCTAGCCCCAGGCAAAACGGGTTGGCACCCACCAAGATGCTGACGCCCCCAGATCCAACAGGCCTATTATAACAAACTTTTTACGATTGAAGATTTATTCTATGTTCTAGCTTTGTTTCTATTTGCCGCTTAAACCAATATATCTGTATAATATAAATCAATGGTGGCCAAGTAAAACATTTACCAATGACAAGCATATATGAAAAAAAAAAATCTCAAGCTTTCATAGTGGGTATGAAATCCTAAAATTCTTATAGCGATTTTGACTCATTCACTCTCACTTTAGTCTGCTAGTCCCCTGGTAACCGCATTCGGTAGAGTGACTACTTGCCTGCACAGGTGTTGATGCCAGGTTCAGCTTCATTTGCCCTAACACGATTTGCAATGTGAATGCACTGTCGGGGTACAAATACTTATAAACTTCCAGGACTTGACGCTTCTTGAAAGTTCGCTCATACTATCGCTCCCATGGCTTGCAAGTGTGCGAGCCGAGAGTGATGGTTAGTAAAACAATAACCATGCACGTACACAACCAAGAACATTTATTAGAGAAATGAGATGCCACCCAATACTGTATACTACACTACTACCTTGCTGGTGACTAGCATCACAGATGGATGCAGACGTAAGCTGCAACATGGCGGCACTCATAATCAACTTTCTGGGGCATTTGAGGGAAAGCTGCAGCAGTAAAGTGCACACTGCTGCATTCTCAGCTTTAAGTCGTGGAACACAACCATCTCCCTGCAATGCTTAAAGGGGCCATGACACAGTGACCCACCTTATTGCGGACTTCAGCCAAAAACAGAGGTAGAGCATCCTTTAACTATACGAAAAATGGACTGTAAAATAACATTGAATTAAAAAATAAGCCCTTGAAGTCGCTGGCTAAGTCTCCGCCCACCGCCGGTGACTGCCACTTTGCCATGGCATGTGCGATGCCACATGATATGGAGTGAAGCCATCGTCTTCTGCCCAAGTTTCAGTTGCTGAAAATTGTAAAATTTTCAATTCCAAGCTGAAAAAAGATGTATTAGCTCCATTGTACATGCAGCGGACCACAAACAAAATTGTTAGTCGGAATACAGACACACAAAGCAAGCGGCTTGTTACATCACGGCTTGCAAGTGCGCCAGTGTTGTCAGACTCTCAGGCTGCTTGCGTGTTTATAAAAGTGCTCTATATAAACTAAAGGGGAACTCTGGCATCTTTTCAATATTCACCGATTTCAACAAAACTTTGAACATGTGTTCTCGTCAGTACCGTTGTGATACGTGCCAAATTATACAACCGTAAGTCACTTAGTTTCTTAGAAAACAAATTTTAATATTGATAGCTGATTCTGGATTCACACTTGTAAATGCGGGCTACCCTGTGTATGTGATGTAAGAGACTACTCTTTTTTAAACACCCTGCCTTTACCAGCAGACAGATGCAGCGTGCACTTTCTTCTACGAGGCGACGACAATGCAACGCAGTTCAGTTTTGTCAGCCGCATTTAGCGTGTCAGTCATCGTTAACGTCGGGACTTACAATACTGAGCAATGAGAAAATCGATTCAGGGCATGTCAGATGCTTCACGCGCTCAGAGAGCAGCTGCAATCATTGTTGAACTTGTCACTGGTAAGTTCAGATGAGCTTGCACCGCTTGATTCCGTGTCGGATGACATCATCAACTTGCTTTTTGCACTATGTTTAGGCGTTTCGCTAGGAGACGCTGTGCGGACGTGTTTCGCATGAGCTCCGGCCCGGTGACCGACTATCGGCAGGACGCGCTTTTTTCTGGACTTGCTGTCAGTGGGCTCGTCTGAAGAAGGTTGCCCTGTACCTACGGACACCACTCGTTTAGGCAAGTTTGTCCCCGTTTTTGAAGTTTCCGAGATTTTCCTATCAACCCTGCGGTGGCAAGGCTAGGCCTATCTCCTAGGCCAAGCCTGGCCTGGGCCGCGTCGCCCGGCATCTGACTTGCGCCCGGTGACCGTGGGCCTTGTTGGGCTGAAGATGGAATACTACGTCGAAGGGGAGACTATAACACCCGAAGATTTTGAAGCAGGAGAGTGGGCTCCAGTGCTGAAGGCACAGGACCGATTTAAGAAGACTCAGCATGGTGACAATGCCTGCGTCTCGCCGGCCTTGCGAGACGCAGGCCGGCAGCGACGGGCGCAAGACGCACGGAGCGCAGCAAGTCAAGCGGGGGAAAGCGCCGGTATGGAAGAAACGCGGACCGTTTTCTCAAGTTGCCAGTCACGGATTTCAAGATTGTGTACAGGCCCCAGCACTGGGACTTGAGTGTTGCGACAGCGAGAGAACTCGGATGTGCACTGAGATCAGCAGCGCGTCTAACTGAGTGCGATTGCCGCGGAAGAAGACATTGTGCGGGTTAATGGCACAAACAACACGTTGACGGTGAGCACACTGTGCATAAATCGCAGTGGGGCATATGCGACTGTGAAGACGGTCAAGCTGGGTGATCGTGACCGGCCGGTTTCGGCGTTCGTGGCGCCGTTGGAGAACTCCGTGCGGGGAGTGATTTACAATGCTTATGATGGATGCCCAGTGGAAGAAGTTCGGGCGGGATTCCTGAAGAAGAATGAAGACATAGACATTCTGGACGCGAGACCTCTGGGAAAGTCAAAGGCGATTCAGATTACGTTCGGGGGAAAAGCGCATACCCCGGCAGATTACTTACTGGAGCTGTCTGTACGCTGTGATCCCGTACAGAAATTTAGTCGAGACCTGCTACAACTGCAGACGAGTTGGACATCGAGCGGACGTTTGCTATCGTCCGAAGAGCAACCTATGTCACCGTTGCGGGAAGGACCATCCTGCCCCGCCAGGAGGAGAGCCACCTGCCTGCACACCGGACTGCATCGTGTGCAATGGTGCGCATCACACAGGGAGCCGGAACTGCAAGTTTCGCCTGGCTCGCAAGCCACCGACAGGCCGGCAGCAGAGCATTGAAAGAGAGAGCGAAGCTGGCAACGATAAGCGGTCTTCGAGGGCTACGAAGTAGTCACCGAGGGGTAAAGAAGGCAGAAGCAAAAGCAGGGACCGGTCGAGTTCCTTCCCGCCATTGCCAGGGTGCGGGGCCGGCCAAGATGGTGGACGAGCATCCAGTACCAACAGCTGCGCACGCGACACCAACAAAAAGGTGAGCTTGTCAAGCACGGCCTCCCAGAACGAAACCGCTTGAGAGAGGGAGTTAGCAGCGCTGGTTCAGCGACAGGGAGACTTGATTAAAAGAATGGAAAACAGAATTGGAGAGATGGAACGCGCACTTAGAAATGACCAACGGCAGGGGACACAGGCACCAGCAGTGCAAGGCCTACAGAAAGCGACGCAAGAGGCGTCTGCTCGCGTACAGGAGAGTGCAGCTATGGAAGTGGAGAATCGAAGGACAGTGAAGAGACCACTGCCGGGGGATGAGGTAGCTAACGCAAAACGATTAGCCGAAACGTCACCAGTAGACATGCCACAGCCTGTTTTTAAGGTCATTAGTCTTAAGTTGGATGTAACAATACTTGCGGATAAAGTAGGCAAACAAGGGAAAAGACAGGATAGGTTGGAGGCTAGAGTCGAAAAGATCGAAGCCAGATTAGACACAATAGAGGAGCGTCTCGGCATGCTCTCCACTGAATTTAGGGATTCCCAAACCCAGGTCATGGGCATGTTTCAGCAGCTTCATACTCTATTGGAGGCAAGACTGCCTCCCGTGGGTGGTCAAGTGCCATTAGTCAACCTGGTGCCTCATCATGGCGCCTCGCCAGCAAATTGAGGTTTGGCAGTGGAACTGCAGGGGCTTTCGTCAAAAGCGGGTAACCTGCAGTTGCACGTACAAAATCTGGACAGTAAACCAGACATAATAGCCTTACAGGAGGCTAGTGGTTCCGTAAAATTACCTGGATTTAAGGCATTTACAGCGCCAGGAATTGATTCAAGGGGCGTATCACGTGTCTTCATCGCTAGTCCATCGCAACATCACTGCCATTCAGCATTCCGTAGATAGCAGCAGGGAAGACTATGTCTTGCTTGAGATTTTGCCTAAACGAAAGTATGAGAAGAGTCTGTTTTTACTTAATGTGTATAGTTCTCCAAAAGATAAAGGATTGGGCTTGCCACAACTCCTGATTCAAACTCAACGGTTAGCAGCTCGCGCTCCGCTTATAGTGGTAGGAGATTTCAATGCGCCTCACCCAAAGTGGGGTTATATTCGAGCCAGCCCAAAGGGCAATCGGCTTTGGCAAGTTGCCCGGGATCTGCGATGGACGCTGTTAAACAATCCACAAGATCATACGAGGATAGGCAACAGCATAAGCATGAATACCTCCCCAGACCTTACGTTTTTTAGAGGCATCAGTAATGCAAAGTGGATTAACACGGGACAAGCCCTAGGAAGTGATCACTATATCCTTTCTATGACGTTTAGCGCTGCAAAGCATAAGACAAAGTGAGGGGGCGTAGAATTACAGATTGGGACAGATTTAGGAAAAACAGAGCAGACACTGTAAACGGGAAAATTAATGACGTGGATGCATGGGTACAGGCGCTCAAGGAGGAT